TTCATTTTTTTTTTCTTTTTTTTTTTAACTTTTTTTATTAATATAGATGTTAAAAGCTAAGTAAATTATAACAAACATTTATCACTTTATTTTTTTTAATAAAACAAAATCAAACCTATACAATTGAACAAAGAGGAATTAATTTAATACATTTTTTTGTCTTCTAATGTTTAAGTTAATAATATAACCACACAGAACTAACTGTATGATTTTGTAATAATTAAAATTTTCGAACAACAAATACAGTGTATAAAATAAATAATTTAGAAATTAATTGTAAATATTAAAACCCCATACATAAAAAATAACAATATTTCTTTATGTTGTAATTTTTTTCATGGAAGAGTTGATTATGGAATAAATAATATCAACACCTCACATTACTCAAATAATTATAAGAAATAACATTCAAGTAAATAATCTATACATAATAAAAAGAGCAGTTGGGGTACATAACTCTAGCATTATAAAAAATAAAAAAAATAAAACAATTATTTAAAATTTTAAAACATAACATAATTTAAAACGTTTTTTTATCATCAAAATGGTAAGAGTTTGGGATTGATAGAATCAACAACAAAACAACACTTTGGGGTTATCCAAACAACTAATATAATACTAACACATGTTAAATACACATGTAAACAAATATGACATTTCTCCATATGGTTTCTTATGCTACGACTATAAAAAAGAGACAAGAACAATCATTATCTCATGTTGGCTTATTTGTTAAGATACCAGTGTTCAATCATGACCAGTTATATATTGTTGACTATGAACAAGAGACATAGACAATCATTATTTCATGTTGGCTTATTTCTTAAGAAACAGTGTTCAGTCATGACCAGTTATATATTGTTGTCTCCCGTGTCACTAATCGAAAAGGTTTGAAAATGTTTATTTGTGGGTAAGATGATCTGCCAAAGAATCAAACCAATAATGTTGTATATAGAGAAGAATAATATATGATTTTTTCAGTTTAATTATATGTTTAAATGTCTAATCTTATGATCTTTGCATTATTACCCAATTTATATACAAAATTGTCTTCTAAAAAGCACATAGATTATAATTGGGGAAATTTTATCTTTACTTAACGGATTGAAAGTAATTGTAATTATATCATGGACATATATTTTATTGCATTTGTACCAACTACATAGTAATTAATTAAAAAAATGTCAAGATTTCAGTTACCAAATTGAAATGCAACTCCTCCTTAATTTGTGGAGGTACGTCTCTCTCTCTCTCTCTCTCCTATTAATTAGGAGTTTGTTTAATACAAATAGGAAAGATTATGAATTTTACTTACAAACGATTTTTCTTCTTGATATACACAAACCCCACAATAGTGAAAATATATTTTGCCAAACACACGCAATTTTTACTTATCGAACTGCTTTTTGTTTATTTTTTAGCATCACATCATGTTAAAAATATATATTAAATGCACATTAAACGTATATATTCAATATATGTTGCAATAATCTTCTATTATACCAAAACAATAAAAAAACAACAAATTGCTGATGACAATCAGATAAAATCATGTATATTTACAGTATATAAAACAAGATGAAATCGTACTCATATACATATACTAAAAATATACTGTTGACCTTAACATCTACTAAAAAAACAGTATATGTTTTCCGGAACATATACAACATATATAATCATTGTATATAGTTGACACAAAAGAAAATATATATAGAAGATAAATCAATATTGTCATTATATACACACTATATACAAAAGATATACAAAAAGAAATTTTTGTTAATGAACATGCTAAAAAAAAATCCCATGACACAAAAAATTGTCGTATATACATTACATATACTGAACATATACAACCTAATGTTATTGATTGATAACAACTTCTAAACTATTTAATACAAATTGAATTATACACATACATTATACGTAACATATACAAATTATATACACTGTCGCCTGCGACGGTGCCGCTGCCGCTTTCACCGTCTCTGCAAATCCTCATCCCATCATCTCTGCTGCCTATCCCACCACCACTTGTCCTCTTTTTCTCCGCATCCTAGCCCTCTCTCTCCTCTTCCTCCGCCCCCCTCCACCATCGTCCTCTAATCTCACCGTGCCCTTCTCTCTCTCACTCGAACCTCGCCGGAACTCCTCTGCTTACAACCCTTAGGAGTGCTCCCGCATTGGAGGTGCCCAGCAGCCCAAAATCGACCTTGGCCCACCAGCTCTGTCCTCACTGTCCCACCAAAATTTCTCGCAAAAATAAGGATGGATTTTTTAGAAGAAAAACGAATAAAGAAGATAAACATAAGGAGAGAAAGTGATAGTGGGCGTGAAAGATGGGAGTCGGTTTTTTACTTGATAATAAATCGCATTAAATCCACACTATCTATAATTAAAGCAATATTTTTTCTCACCTGGTTCTCGCATTAGTGCAAATAAAATCTGAAATTTTGGTAAATGTGCTAAATAATTTGGATGGACCATTAAAGTGTAATATATATTGTTTTACCTTGTATGTGGAATAATTTTCTCATTATAATTTTCTCGTGCATCACACGGGTGATTACTAGTTTAGAATAAAATGTAAATTTGGCATTAATTTTTTTTTTTTTTTTCAACGTTAAGCCTCCTGCCTTCTAGTAAAATGTTTTGTTTGGGCCTTTGAACTTGCACTTTTTGGGTCTGTCAGAATTAGAATGAGTGATAAAATACGATATTTGTTATTTGTAGACAGTGTGTAGCGAAACTCGGGTTTTCAAACAGTTCTCTGCGGCTAGTCGTTCTTCTCCCGCATACAGAACCATGGGAATCCTCTCAACCGCCTCCATTCTACTCGCTAACGCCAAATCCAAATTGAAATTTGTCCCCGAAAATTTTAGATCTACTATTTTACATCGTTTTGCTGCCTTCGTCGGCAGTACTGCGGCGCCGGCGCCGGCGCTTTCCCCCAATTTGAAGAATTACAACAACGAAAAACTCATGCTTATGGTGCGATATGGACTCAACGGAACCTGTGATCATTGCGTAATCTCTACGGACAACAACTCATTCCGAGTGGTAACAGGTAGTCTTCCCAACTTATCTCTACTCAGAACTGAAAATTACCATCCAGAGTATCTGAACGCCGCCGATTATATCATTCGAGCGTGTTCCAACAGCAAATGGATGTTGTTGACATGTCAAAAATTGCCTGGACCTCCATATGAGCTTCTTTGGGACCCGACAACAGACGAGATGAAACGGCTTCCTCCTTCTGCAGTTTGGCCTCCCCCATCTTTACCAAGATGCTCTTGGTGTTGGGGTTTGGGCCTGGGGTTTGATCCTCGTGCATCTTGGGACTACAAGGTGGTGAGATCTTACCTGTTCGAGTATGAAGATTTCTATGAAATCCGCTCCGAGGTGTGGTCCCTCGGAACCGGATTATGGAAGGAGATTCCATATCCTCTTGATAATGTGCTCCACCCCAATGAAAATGGTGCTCTTCACATAAATGGCTTCTATTGCTGGCTATGTTATCATAGTCGCACGAGAAGTCATTTTATTATTCTGTTTGACTTTGCTAATGACATGTTTCTACCTGCTCCTATCCCTGTCCCCCAAAGCGAATATCTTGGTACTAAAGCGAAAGTTGTTCTTGCTGAGTTTCATGGCGCACTTGCGGCTGTTGTTTACGATTTTGATCCGTGGAGGAGAAATGGTTTACCTGCATATGATAATAATTTGCCTTGTTTCGAGATTTGGGTATGGAATGACGGGTGGTACCTTATGGATAGGTTTGATGTTCCTGCTCGTGCTCGTGTTGGTGCTGGCTTTCTCCTAACAATATTGGGTCTTTACATGAATGATAAAGCGCTTATTCAGGACTCCAAGGGTGACCTGCTGCTTTATGATTGTAACACCCGCAAGTTGGAGAATCTCGGCATCCACGATCAAGCATGTGACATGCGGGTTTTCCCCTACGTTGAAAAAATAAACCAGAGCTTGTCATTCCTATGGTTTCGTGGTATCTTTCTTTGATCAAGCGTCGTATTCTGTGTTTTTGTATTTGCCATCTTATTAGGTATGTAATGGTCCTATAGCTTATTGTTTTTCTACCTTCACTGCTCATGTATTTATTTTGGTTTCTTTTAGTGCAATCATGTTACTTTTTTACATACTGCATCTTCTTTACTTATTAAGCCACCCAACCCCCTCGTGGGGTTGCAATTTTAGCGAATAACATTAATGTTTCATGTGTGACAAATTGTGGCTGACAATGATATCGTAAGAGTTATGATTCCCTTTGTGGTTTTATGACCTCAAGTTAGAAAAATAATCCACCATATGAAATGAAAATCAAGGAACTACCAAATAAAAAAAATAAAAATAAAAAAATAAATAAATAAATAAACAGTACAGCTAGTATTGTTTTACTGAAATCGAACCAACGAGAAAATATACCAAATCGTTCCGGCTCTCTTGTAACGGTAAGCGTTACCGTTATCGAAGTGCTATCGGTTTGATATCGGTACCACCCCATAAGGGTTCGATTTTTACCAAAACCAAACTCATAAGCTTAAAAAAAATATATTAATTAGAAGTTAAAACGAACTGATAAGCTCAAAAAGATATATTAATTAAAGTTAAAACAAGGGATTTGTTTAGTTTTTAACTGCCAAGTTTACTCACCTAGTAGAAATATTTCTTCGAAGTGGATTTCGTTCAGATTTCAGGGAAACTGACATTGTCGGTTCTGTATCTGCAATTGGTTATTGGTTCGGTTACCGAATCAAACCCAGGAAACCAACCACTGAACCAAACCTACTGATTCTTAGCTGGAGACCAGGCCAAAAGCAGAACCAACCAGGTGTTAGTGTGTATACTTAAAAAAATTTGGCTTTTTGCGTAGTAAACAATATCTGTTGAATGAGAATCATGTTTAATTAAATTGTCTTATGTTATTTGCATGAATTGCGTCCGTTGTGATTGGTGCGCCCCTAACAAAAGATCCGAGGATGTTGAGTTGTGGAGGTGCGGAGGAGGAAGCCAACGGTGGTCCTCCGCCCAATCAATTATCCGCCCCACCAAAGTCCGGTAACTCGTATTCTGGTGGTGCCAATGGAGGTAACTTTTTTCTTTTGTTCCTTTTCTTATCTGCGATCTTACATTGATCAATGTTTGAATTAGTCCTATTAATTCTAGGTACTTTCTTAAAGGTGTTTACAAGAGAGAAAGTGAAACTTTTAGTTGATCATGGTGTAATGTTTTTTCTATGTCCTGTTTTTGGTTTTCGGTTTTTTTGGATATTAAAGGAAATAAAGAGCCAAGGACATCAGCTGCAAGAAATGGACCGCCCCAGAAAGCTTTGATATGTGTGCTCTATGTACAGTTAACCATGGTTTCAAGGTTTAAGAACGAACATTTAGTGGGGTTGCTCGGCTACTGCCTTGACCAAAACAACCGAATATTAGCCTATGAGTACGCCACCATGGGTCTTTTGAACAATGTCTTGCACGGTACGTGAAGAAAAAATCTGTATTTTCTTAAATCGTTGTCTTTGTATTTATTGTTTCTTTTATTGCAGGCAGGAAAGGGGTGCAAGGGGCGGAACGGGGTACCATTACGTGGAATCAGAGGGTGAAGATAGCATATGGAGCTGCGTAAGGCTTCGAGTTTCTGCACGAGAAATGTCAGCTGTCGATCATCCACCGTGATGTAAGATCGAGCAACGTGCTTCTGTTTGATGATTTCGTGGCCAAGATAGCCGATTTCAACTTGACCAACCAGTCCTTGGATATTGCCATTCGTCTGCACTTGACTAGGGTCCTCGGAACATTCGGATACCATGCTCCTGGTTGAGCTGTTGATTTAATTTTACTGATAGATTCTTTGTACAGTAGTACAAATTTCTGCAAGAAAATAAGATGGGGAGCATAACTGCCTTTAACTAGGCTTGTCAAGTCTTTGGCTTTAACTCGGTTAATAGGTTGGTTTACTTAAAAGTTGCTAATTCTCACATTTTTTCTTGATTTTTCTATACATGCCAAGCAATTTTGCGGTCATAATGGATGATTTTGGAAAGAATTTTTACTCGTCAGCATGTGTTTCGTAATGACTTCTGGTTTCCTTTATCTTGCCATCCCATACCAGTGTGGTGACTTTTCGCATAATCAACAACCAGGAAAAAAACAATGATTTTCAGCTTCAACCCAGAGAAAAATACTTGCTTTTTACAGCTAGGAGTTGACGATCACTTTTATTTTCTCAAATTTGCGAACTCTCCATGTAACGCCCCGTCTTTTATTTATAAAAGAAAGATACTAACTTTCGAGTATAAACTAGCCTTTATTAATAAATGCTCGACATCATTTCCAAGCTTAAGGGGGTGATTGTTTACGAAATAATTTACTCACTTTTATTTGAACTTAAAATCTAACTCAACTTTAACTCAACCCCACTATCTTTAATATTATTCATATAATTAAATAATACAAACCAATCATTCTTACACATCACATCAACTTTAATTCACTATTCATCCACTCACATAATTTTAACTACCTATCATTTACAATCATTTATCTCTTACTTTTACATCAAATCAAAAAAAGTAAAAGTAACGGGTCCAGTTGCGCGGGCCTGTGACCCATGCGGGGGCATTAACGCGACGGGAGGTTCCCAAAGGTGGCTGTTTGCTAGTCGGCGATTGTAGAGGGTGGCTCTTTCAAGTCTTCTAAAAGTCGATAAGCAGCTCCCTGAAGCTTGGCTTGACAGAGCAGAGTGCCTTGACGTCCTGAAGAGGGTCGGCCACCATCTTCTAATCGAACCTCGACCTTTTTTGGTTATCCTTGTATCTGAAGAGGGTCCGTTTAACCCTAGCAAGTAGGGATCGGAATGAGTTGCAAACGGCTCTGCAAATTGTTGCTCCTGCTAAATTTAGATGAATGATATGCATGATACCCCTGAGGTTTAGTCTAACTGCAAGCAAATCCATTTATATTATGAAATTGCAAACTAACTCCTTCACATTTTAACTCAAAAATTCATATTGTATCATCATCAACTGATCCCTTTATGATAGAAACGATTTTGCTGTGAAGCCAACAGTTGGCTCCATAATGGAATCAACATGCTATATACAACATATAAACCTACCATATTAATAAAATTATATTATTGTTATTTAAGTAATCCGAGAATATGGTAGGTTTACTTGTTGGATATAAGGAGGTTGGCTCCATTATGGAGCCAACTGTTGGCTTCATAGCAAAACTGATGATAGAAATTTGTATGCATTGTGTATCCAAATCTATATCTATATCTATATATATAAAAAAGGGTTGATGGAAAAATTCGAAATAGAAACTTTAAATAATTGTGTTGACTTTTTGACTTTCCATTTGTGGAAAGTATTTTAAAAATCCTTAAAACAAATTAAACAAAATATTTAAATCAAAAATCCATAAATAAAGAGATTGAATTGGATAAGCGCTTTGTGATAAGCTATTGCCTTATCTAAAATATTTAAACAACTTTCCATTGAAATCTCCAACCACTTTGTACGCACGTTTAAAATAATTAAAAAAAAAATCAGCCTAATCTAACCAATTCGGTAATTTGCTATTTAATAGGGAATGTGCTTTAATTTTCATAAACAAATCCAATCCTTAATTATCACTACCAACAAACCTAATCTACATAATATCCTAACAAATTGATTCCTTTTTTTCCGTTCAGATAACCATAGAAACACAATATAAAACGCTATACAGTGATAACATAAATTACAATGCTCTTCGATTGCCAGCTTCTCCATACACTACAATAACATAAATTACAAAACACAAATATTATTTTATGGAACCATTCTGGGGTACACTGTACGCCGTCAGCAGAACCAACAAACCATATTTGAGGTTGAGAGTTGTCCTACTTCTTGAAACTCATCATGGTGAAGAGGATCAGAATGCTTTTCATATCCTGTTTCATGACGAAGGGCTAATAATTTTTGTCTATTTTATCAATAACATAATTATTGTAATATATAATATCAAATTTCAAGAAATATTTGAGATTTTTTTAATGTTTTTTTTATTTAAAATATGTAGGGTTCATACATGAAAGGAATAATACGTTCACCGCATATGAGCAGATTTTGAGTTCTACTTAAACAAGGCGAGGCATATGTTATTCGCAACTACGATGTTGAATATAATAGTGGAAGGAATGATATCACAACAAAACCTTGGAAGCTTCGAATTCATGGAAGTACGGACGTGATCAAATACAAAGCGAATTTTCCTCAATACTAGCTACGAAAAATTTATGGTCAAGGCTGTATTTCTTAGTTTTTTTTTTATCAAATATTAATTTTATTTTTTTTTTAATTTATGATATGTTGAATATTGGCAACACTTTTATTCCATGTCATTTTTTATGCGTATTGGATATTTTTTAAAATTTATTGGTAATAAATTTCGTATTACTTCATTTATTATTCATATTAGTTCATTTATTATTCGATTAAGTAATTACATGCGATTGTTTTTATCTAAATTTGGAAGATATAATCTGAATTTTTTTTCACAACTTGAAATTGATATAATACAATTTAAATATATTTAAAATAAAGGTATTAAAATTTTATGTTTAATTTTTATTCAATATACTCACGAAATTAAAATTAGCAATTTCAATGTTTCGAAGATATAATCTGATTTTTTTTAAACAATGTGAAATTGATATAATACAATAATTTAAATATATTAAAAATAAAGGCATTAAAATTGATATAATACAATAATTAAGGCATATTTGGTGTTATACTCCGAAACAAGAAAATTAAATATTTTTAGTTTTGTATCATAAAATATAATCCAAATTTTTCAATATCAGAAAATATAATCCGAATTTTTCAATATCAGAAAATATAATCGGATATTTTCTAACAGAAATATAATGTCAAAATTTGTTAGGATATATAATATAAAGATTGTTGAAATCTCTTTTGTTTAAGAGAATCCATTAGTAAATCAAATTCTTGAAACATAAAACCTCTTTCCATTTAGAAATTTAAATACGTGTTTCAAGAAAAAAAACAATCCTATGATAAACATGTTTCCATGTTCATCTAGATATCTACCTAATTAACAATTTCGAAAATAATATCTTTTACAAATAAATTATAGTATATTATATTATTAAATATAAATATTCCGTATAATATTTTGGATATCTACTATAAGTATAAATAACCCAAAAATCAATCACTCCACAAATCAATTTCATATCGTGAGAAAAAAAAAATCCTTCTCCACGTATCAAAAAATAAAAAATAAAAAAAATTTCATGGAGCAATTAGGCTTGATAAGTCAACTCACAGTTAATATGAGCTTCAATCTTATATTAGCTTCAATCTTAGGCTAAGAGCCATACGCATTTTCAAGAGATCATTCCAAAACGATTGGGAAATACTTTTCCATGATATGCAGGTAAATATATTGCAATGAATTTTTGTTTTGATAATTGTTTACGTTTTTTTATTAGCTCAATAACAATGTTTATTTATTGTGTAGGGATCACGAATAACGGGTATAGTTCGTGGTGAGCCCATATTTGTTGGATTGCTTGAGGAGGGCGAGGTCTACATATTTACCAACTACTGACTAGAGCTAAACGTTGGTAAATTTAGATCTACTAATGCAGACTACAAAGTTATAATTTATGAGAATACTCAGGTCGTTCACGTGCTATCTACTTTCCCTACATGGGAATTCGACTTACATAGTTTTGCATTTCTTCAAAATGAAGACATTGTCGACGAGTCAATCCTATATGGTACATCTTTTATTTATTGGTGTATTTGAATTTTTTTCAATTATAACTTTTTTATTGTTTGATTTGATATATTAATTATTAAAATATTACATAATTTTTCTACTAATATCTATTGTAGATGCTATTGGTATGGTTGTTGAAGTTCGACCCATTAATTTATATTTCATAAATGGAGAAGAAAAGCAAGGGATATCTTTTTCAATGATGGATTTAAAGTACGAAATATATGTATTACATGAATTATGTATTTGTAAATTATATGAACAATTCAAGATGTTAACTTTTTTTTTTATTAATTAGTGGATTAGTGTTGCGTTGCGAAGTTTGGGGTGAATATGTTCAAGACTTTCTTTTTTGTGAAAATTACTTCCAAGCTGCGGACGATAGAGAACCATGGGTTCTCATCATGCAATTATGTAGGATAAAAAAAAAATATTGCAGGTATTTCGAATTTGTGTTTTTTTTTATATTATAATATAAAATAAATAATGATATTATATATAATTTAAATTACAATTTAACATATATTTTTGTTTTGCAACAGGTGAGTATCAATTGAGTTCATATCTGAATGTGACACGCCTTTTTGCTTCTAATGTTTCGGAAATTATACATTTTCGCACCAAGTAAGTGTTCGCGAACAATTGACACTTTATTTTATTTTTGAACTTTTTATATAGATGTTGTATATATATTGTGTATATATTTTCAATTATCATTTTGTTATTTAATTAATTTATTTAATTTTTTCATATATTTTATAAAATTGTGTACACAGTTTTCTAAGCAGCAAATGGTATAAGCCGAATATGTACGTCACCAACTCC